TAGCTTGCTTTTATAAAACTATTCTATTGTGGACTCATCAAAAGTAGGTGATGCAGACAGAGTGATGCTGCACTGTAGGAACTTCATTCTTCTAGTCTTTCGTTGCATAAAAGCTAAAATGAATTCAGTTATAGAGCACATTAAAGATGTAGCAGGAGAAAAGTAGCGGAAAAAAAATTACAAAAAAATAAATAAATATACAATGTATCCAAGATGGTTAAATTAAAATAGAGTTGCAAAATTAATTGGTTAATAACGTGATGTTGAGAAAAAAAATGCCGATTTGTTTTTTTAAGAGATAAAAAAATATAAAGATAGTGTTGAGAGATTTTAAGTATGACGTTTCGGTCTTATCTTGCACAGACTGTTTAAGAAAGATACTGTTCAACCAACAATAACACAGGTCTACAAAATTAAACTTTTTCACAGATATTTTGAAAACTAATTTTATATAATTTTGGTTAGCTGATTTCGAAAATTCTATTCATTTATTTGTATCACGTAAGGTTTTTTTTACAAATATTAAAGGAAAAAACAATATATCTAAAATAATTTATTTGTTTATTCAGTATAAAAATGGAATCCTTGTTAAAAAAAATGAACTGTACTCAGACTTTTTCAGTGAAATCTTCAAAAAGCTGAGTTGTCCGGACATTCGGCTGTGTATTTTTGATGACATATCCCGTTTTAACATCCAGCAGTAGTCATGCTTTGTAGTGCTTTGGTATCGCCGTTCCATTTGCTTAATGTCCTGATGAAACCTCTCTCCATGTTCTTTGCTGCTCCAAGATGTTCAGGAAAATAGTTAAAGTGTGAAAACAAGAAACTCACTTTCATAAGCATAACAACATAATCCTTGAACAAGAACAATCATCACTGTGATTCCTAGGCTCTCGGCATACCACAGGACCACCAAAGCTTAAATATTCTTTCCTATCTTTTTGTCAGTTTCATAATACTTCAACGCAAACGGAACAAAGTGTATGAGGAGACCAGGACCAAATAATAAGCCAAAATAAGCGTGGTATACATTTTTCACAAAAGAAGTTATATAGATATAACAAAAGTTATTTGGATTGCACAAAAGCAGGTTAGATTGTATTGACGCTTCTGCGCCAGCTCTGTTGCCTTGCAGAAAAATCTAATATCATCCAGTGTTGCCAAATCACATTTAATTTCATAAAAATCAATTCATTTAAAAATCATACCTAACATGGAACAAATATGTACATTAATAAAATAACAATTTTAAGATATAAAGCGCTATAAAAAAAATAACGTGATAGAGCAAAAAAATTAGGTTTTTTGGAAAAGGGCCCCCAAAAATATGCAAATAAGCAATAACTGTAGACCCGTGTAATCTGAACTGGGGCTGGAGAATCGTACTTTTAGAAGCTTAAAAAAACGTTCTTTGTTCAATATTAATTAATAATTATTCAAAGTAATCCCTCATCGCGGAAATTTTCTCCCACGAAACGCCCTTTTCTCTTGTCCCTCCCATCCGTCAAACGCCAACACTCCAAACAGCACTCGTAAGTAAACAATAAAAAGCATTACACATGAGAAACTCGCGCCAAATGAGGAACAAACAAGCAAATGCTTTTATTAAAATTAAGCAAGTGGGTGTACCGAGTAGAATCACGCGTTAACAAGACTTTTTGTGTTCTCTGCTCGTCGTCGCCGTGCAGGATCCGCGTTCTATAGGGCGCTTCGCATTTTTAACCGAAGCGGGTTAATACTTGTCATTTAAAATGCACTTAACCTATGTTAATTGGCCTCGCTAATCGGCCTAGTCAGGCCGAGTGATTTTTAATATGTACAGGCTATTGTTAGTCTAGCCAGAGTTAGTCTACAATCTAATAAAGAAAAAAATGTGATATCGATAGTCTATCTATAAGGTAGGAGAACAGATCAAATCAGTTGGCTGAAATATCAATAACAAAAATACCAAATTCTAAAACACGTCAACAAACAACGTTAACTTTTCGTGATCTTGAATATAGGGATGTCAAATATGCCTTAGTGGATATGCATATGCAATAAAATTGGGTTAGAGGTAATTTCCGAAATAAATTACATGAAATCCGTGAGCTTTGTGCCAAAATATTATAATTTTTGAGCACAAAAAAAAGAGACTGAGTGTGCTGTTGTGGTTTTTGCCAATTGTCAAGAATAGAAAGCTACATTTGGTAAATACTTACCGAAATCTGCTGCTCAACAATATCCCCAGGTTTGGTAAAACTGAAGTTTTCAAAGGTTACGAATTACGAATGAGCAGTCACACAATAATTAAAGTAATAAATAAGAATAAGCAACAAAAAGTAAGGAAATATACAATATAAACCAGGTCGATGAATAAGTTTGTAAAATTTTGTAAGAAAACTAATACAGAGTCGAAAAACTGTAAAAATGGGGAAAAATGATAACTATTTACATTCAGCTGACAGCCAAAATACCACTGAATCGAACATATCTTTTTCCACGATTAATTAATACGAATTGTAAATTGTGCTAATGGTCAAGTGAATATGATGATTTTTCGAAAAGATTGAATTAAAAATTAAAAGTTTTTGCCAGAGTTTAAAGAATGTTAAGTTCATGCAAATTGGTTAAAAACAGTTTTTACTGCGCCAAATAACTCTTCAGATGTGATAAAACTCGAGCTTTCAAAAATTTCATTGAGCATTCATTAAAAATAAAACAAAAGAAAACGTTTTATTGAAAGATATGCTTTATCCTGCATTTTTGGGTGAATATAAAGAAATATGTCCAATGCCTAAGAATGAAATTTATATAAATATAATTTTTAGCAAGAAAACAAAGAGGGAGCAAAAATAATGTCAAATTAAAAAAAATATTAACAATTATTGGCATTCAGTTGATAGAAAACAATACCATATGATTTTTAAGAATGTCACATTAAAAATATACGAAGGTAAATTGATTTGATTTTTGTAAAAAAAAAATCGGTAAATGTCAAGATACCAACTGTGCACCGTGTGTCGAATAAAACGATCCATTATACGATCTGAAACCCAGGACATGCGCCTCAGTTTCTACAGGGTCTCTCTTGGCGTTTTGGCGAATTCAGTTAATAAAATCTCAGGATTTTCAAATGGAATATTCTACATTTTTATTCAGATATCTTCTAGGACATTTTCTAGGACAAAAAATAAGGTAAGTTTGTAATTTATCTTATTTATCTAAATTTTACGTACTTTTTGAAATATTCGACGTTTAAGATAAGTATAAATTCTTCTTGAATTTAATTAGGTAATATTAGGTATAATTAGGTATACTTCTTGTAAAGATTTAATATTACAGACATACGAATACAAAATATTGCTAACGAATACCCTGTATTATATGAAAAACAACAAAAACAAACAGAAATGTCAAAGATTGTTTACCTTAATGCGTCAAAAAAAAAGATTGTGATGTCGTAGCCAACTACATTTTTAAATATTTTGATATTTCTTTGTTGTTTTGATGCCAGATGAAACAAGCATTTTAAGAGGAACATTTTTAAATAAACTTTATGGACAGAATTAACGAACCCTTTTTAGTTAACTTCTTTTTTATAGATTTATTTATTCAAATTTGTTACCTTGGTTAGTAAGCCTATAAACTTTAATTATTTATTTTTGTTATTAAGTATATTTAATCATGCTAGATAATTAATTATAAAATGTTTCTTTGAATAAGAATTCTGTAGTTTTATTAAATCTGTATTATTAGCAATTTGTTTTATTCGTATATCTGGAGTATTATACCTTTAAAGGAAGTCATTTACCATTTAAAAAAGACCTAGTATTGCCAATAAGTGACCTAATATGGGCAGCTTTAAACTCAACAAGAATTTATACGGGTGTTATCTTAAACGAATATCTCAAAAAGTAAGTAAAACTTAAATATAAGATAAATTACAAACTTACCTTATTGTTTGTCCTAGAATTGTAATCTGACTAAAAATATAGGGTGTTCCATTTGAAAACCTTGAGATTTTGTTAATTGAATTCGCCAAGACCGCACCACCTATTTGGGACACACTGTATAAGCTGAGGCGCTTATGTCCAACTGATTAAGTAGTGCATCGTCTCCTCAGTCTGTGGTTAAATTTTCGTTGCAATACCTGGATCAGCACCGTCCCAACACAATTTTGTATGGGGCAATCAAAATGTGAAATAAAACACATAACCTCAATTTTTGCATAAACTATGCAAAATTCGACTAGGAATTTGTTAAGAAAGTGACCTTTACTTTAACCAAAGATGCAAAAAATTTCGAAATGTATAGCGTGTTCCATTTAAAATAAAAAAGTTGTCGTCGGGAGGGGGGAGGGGACACTTTTGGAACACCCTGTACCAACAAATTTATAATAATGTAAATCTTCAGGAGAGTCCAAGAAACTTTTCATACAAAAGTTTCTTGGACTCCTATCTCCTATGGGTTTTTAGATAGTATCAGTGAGTCGTTTTATATGGCACACGGTGATTGTTAATTTTAGAGAAGGAAGAGTTTTTTTTGGTTTTTATTTTTTATTAAGCGAAAAAGTTAGATGCATTGTAAGAAAGTTAGTCCAATTTGTTCTCAAAATGGTGATTCTAAAAATAATTTTAATTTTTAGATTAAGCAGCCACGTACCATTTTTTTCTCAACACGTAGTTCAAATTCCGTATGGACATTCGTAATTTTTCTTAAATTCCCATCCGTTCGCATATGTAGCGAACATTACGAGGGACGTTGTATATTAGAATTTTAGGTTAAATTTTTTGTTTTTGTAAAAAATGGTGTAAATTGTCAAATTATGGGCAAAATTAATCGAAATTTTATATTTATTAACTTGCAGCAATACGGTAAAAGTCCAAAGTTCCCCGGTGCCGGGGAACAATTGCCGACAAAAAATTTCTCCAATTAAAAATAATAATGTAAATTCAGCGGTTATAAATAAAGCGAACGCGCCGCCATCGATTTACATAAATTAATAAAACGCCTTTCGCGAGAAATAAAAAATATATTTTAAAATTTCTTTCGATTTTTACAACTTACACAGTATTTATAAAACGACAGGAAAAAAACTCGATAGAGATGGCACATGCTCCGTCTTAAAAGCAAAATGTCGGAATACATCATTACACATTTGCAAGGAACGGCTTCTCTTTTACAATTTAAATCCACATCGAAAACTTAGGCGTTGCCACTATTATCATTTCTTGACAATAATATTTATACTCTTAATAAATACATTTATTAAATAAAATCTATGCGGGTTCATATTTCGTTCAATACGATTTTTTTTTATATAATATACACAGATAATTTCTAAGACATGTTTTCGGCTAACCTACTTTCGTAGATGGCAGTTTCTTTTTTGGAGCATCCGGACTAAAAGATTTATTTTGCTTTCATAAAGTAACTGCGAGTTACTGGGCGGGGATAGAGTGTATCTTTACATAAAAAACGATATTGCGAAACAAATTTAAAAAAACAACAGCCTTCGAGATTTCCCTATAATATAATAACTGTGGTATAAAACTTTATAACTATTGAAGCCTACCGCGTTTATAATACTCTTACTCAGTAAAATAAATACAATGGAGAAACTTTTTACATCCACGTCTCAGTCCCGCACTATTTTCACACCTCCCTTTATGAACCTAAAATAAACCTTTCTTTTTCTTGTCTTTCTTACCGTCCATCGTCTCCCTGCTGCCCTCCAGGGACCGCCTACGCAACTCCTCGACCGTGATGCAGTTCTCCTTCTCCCACGCCTCTTTCTCCTGCTCAAACTGCCGCCTCTTCTCCTCCAGTTCTTTGGCCTGTTGCTCGAGCTGCTTCTTCGTCGCCTCGTGGCGTCTGGTCAGCTCCGCCTCGCTGTCCTTCAGCTTCTGCTTCTTCTCCCGCACCTTCATCTCAAACACCTGCTCCATCTCCGCCTCCATCTTCTTCATCTTCAAGTCGTGCTCACGTTTCTCCTCGTCCATTTGCGCCAAGGGGTTTTTGTTAGATATCCGGGACGGTTTCCCGTCGGTGCCCAATCCAGCGAGCTTCCTGCACCGGTAGTTCTCGTAGTGAACATTATTGGTGACGTCTTTCAAGTCCTGCAGGTGAGTCCGTATCACCATGTTGCGTAGGGCGATGAAATCGCAATGCTCCAAGTTTTCCACCTCCGCTACGCCCCACGGATACCTCCTGCCTCTGGTTTTTTTGCCCTCGCTCTCGATCACCACGTTGGAGCCCACCACCGCGAACGGCACCCTATCTTTTAAGGATTTGTTGAGTTTGTGTTCCTCGTCTTCCTCCGACATGTCGGGGAACTCGTAAATCTTGATTTTGTGCTGGGCGATCTCGTTCATCACCTGCTTTTTGAACTGCGTGCACTCGTCTGATGTCAAAGTATCCGCCTTCGCAATGACTGGGATGATGTTAACTTTGTCGCACAGCCTCTTCATGAACTCGATGTCCAAACTCTTCAGGCCGTGCCCGGATGGTTGGATAAAGTACAAACAGCAGTGGACCCTTTGGTCGGGGCTCATCTTGCGCGTAACCCTCGCCTCCGAGTTCAAATAGTCCTCGTATTTGCTCTCGATGAACTCGATGATGGGCACCCAGCAGTTGCTGTTGTCCACTGCGTCCCCGAATCCCGGCGTGTCCACCATCGTGAGCATCAGATTGACGCCGTTCTCTTTCAAAAGAACCCTAGTTGTTTCCACGGCTACGGTTTTTTTCAGTCGTTGAGTGGGGCCCGGATAATCTGCTGAATTGTAAATCTCGGTCAAAAACATGGAATTAATCAGGGTAGATTTGCCTAGGCCCGATTCACCCACAACCATCAGCGTAAACTCGAAGCCCTTTTTCACCGCTTTCCGGTACACTTGATTAGGCAAATTGGCGAACCCCACGTAACCGTCCAACTCCTTGGGCTTAGGCCGCTCTTTGACGATTTCGGGGCTCGATTCCTTGCTAGACTCGTCTTTTTCCTTCGCCGGAGGCTCCGGAGGGCTGTCTTTCTTGATAGGCGGCTCCGCGGGCTTCTCCACCGACGGCGTCTTATTCAATCGATTCGAATCCTTGTTGGAATCGGTGGCCGACGAAAAAAACATCTCACGTTTGCTCTGGATGCTCGGCGGCGCGGTATCCGCGCCGTTCGTCTGCGGGGTTCCATTCGTGGGGCTCTGCTGGTCCATAAACTTTTGCCTCATCGCTAAACGATCCAAGCTCGAAAGTCTGTAAGAGCCACCGATCGAGTCCTTGTCCCTATCGCGACTCAAACCACTACCGGCGTTAAAACTCGACGTATACTTTGGAAGAGTAGGCGGCGGAGTCGGTTTGTTTTCGTTGTTGCGATTCAACAGCGCGCTGCTCGAGGTGTACAAGTAACTACTCGGCATTATATTCGGCCGTGATTTGATCGTAGCGGTCGCCTGAGTGGTAGGAACGGTCGCGTTCACATTATTGGCACTCATCCTAGCGAGCGATAGAGTATATAACCGTCACGACACACGATTAGGTCGACATAGTTCCGGCAACTGTCACTACTGTCACTTTTGCACCGGCCGCCCGCGACAACCGATGACTAACGTTGTTTATCTCGACACAAAGCCACACCCGGGCCGAAAATCGCGCTGTGCTCGACGCAGGGACCGATATTCGGCCGATATTATACGCGATACGGGTGAAACGGTCCGTGCAAACTGCGGAAACCGGCAATGGCGATCGGCTTTATTTCATTTCGCCACGAACAACGCAACAAACAGCCGTGCAGGTCAGTTAGCAGCGCGGCGTTTCGCGATGTTCGTTTTTCGTTTGATCGTTGACCGGGAGTCCAGATGGCGACGCTGTCGCGCCCTACTCCGAACGAAGGCGATGCACAGGTCCGCACCCGCCCAAATGGATCGATCAATAATCGCCGTACAAAATCTTTTCAAATAAAGAGTTTGTTGTGGCAAGGGCATATTATGCGCACGACACCACAAACTTTAATTTAGTAAATGTTTACATTATGTAGGCAAAAAAATCGTAAGCAAAAAACGCGTGTTGATATCATTAAACACTTTAGAAACTTAGACACTACCTAAAATATTAAAGTTGGTTATAGGCAACAGTATATTTCGGCTTAATTGTTAAAGATTTTAGATTTGCGATATGAGTTACCCCATCAGTTTGAGATGCATCTATGCGTCACAAGTTCCGATATTCCGAAATAATCGAATATCATCGAAAAATTTTCCTGTGCCGCCATTCTTCTTTTTGTAAGACCTTTGAACACATTTACATTTTTAAAACTGAACTTTGCGTTCCAAACGAAGGCTTATATATTTATGAAGAGGCGCCCTATAATGGCGCGCTAATCCGATCCTGCTCCCCGGGAATTGTGGGACGCCGACAGTTGCCTTCGACTGAGAGAGAGAAAAGACATTTGAAACAATCGTTCAGACAAATCGTGGGGTTTCTGAACACTCATAGGCGCAGTTGCCAAAACTCGTCGGAAACTTCGGCGTTGTTAGCACCTAACCGTTTGAATTAATGGGTTAGCAAATTAATTTTCGCATCTTCCTCAACCAGTGTTGAAAGATGCTAATTGCATACAAGTGCTTCTTTTTAATGAAAATCTGTCTATTGTAATATTTTTTTATAAATACCTACCAAATCTTATGGCTTATTCGAAGAGGAAGAGTAAGTAACGGCAGTCCGATTGTTTATAAACAAACTTGGCAACGTCGACCGAACCCTCCGACCAATCGATACAACTTGGGTCCTCGTGGTATTAGCAGGCATAAATGTTTTGAAAATAAGTCTGCTTTGTTTAGGTTTTCGGCCGTTAATTTGTACGGTCGTCGTTGATCGCTAAGCTTTTACGTTTCTCAGTAAATTTGGTTATACAAGGTCACGGGGTTTTCATTGGGGTTGCTTAGGTATTTGATGAATTGATCGGTCAATTTCTGGGACGAGAGAGCGTCTCGATAGGGTTAACTTAATAACAACTGATTATTAATAGAACGCGTTATCATTTTGACTAATTCATGGTGACATATCGGTCAAAAACCAATTCCAATCTAATATTTTAAGAGATAAGCATCTTTATATACTATAGAGTCCACGGCTCGTGATGCAATTCTAAGTTTCCAAGTATATAAAAATTGGTTTACTTAAATTTGCAGGGTTCGATTTACAAAAAGGTAACTGGGTGTAAAATACCTTAGTTTATTTATATCCATTAAAAAAATTAATGTCGATAATTGGCTTTTTGTTTCCTTGTCATAACGCTCAGCTTCGTTAAATATGTAGCCGTTTTAAATCAATTTATTCGCATTTTCTAGACGTTTATAAAATGCACTCTGTAGACACTATGGTCTAGTAACTTTTGAAATGCTCATCTTATATTTCCTAAACACGACAAAAATGCATTTTGATTTCCAGGTCCAGGTCTTCAGCGCATAAATGTAGGTATAAATCAACACTTAAAGGTATATGTGGTTATGTCTGTTCGTGCTAAGAAAGATCATTTACAACACAAAAAGTTGACGCATTAGTTACGCACTCAATCTCTGTATGGATATCTTTAGCCGGACTGGTTTAAAAAAACCAGCATTTAGTGTCCATTACCGGTTGTGGAACTTTGGTCCCTACGTACGATTACGGATAAGTGCTGAATTCAGAATTGGAAAATAAGACATCATCTACATTGGCCGTTAGTGCATGAGAAAAACAACTATACAGACTTTACGAGTAACCAATAACGAACAAGAAATATAAAGGTAACGCAAAAAAATAATTTTATTTAACTAAATAACATTTTTAGCTTATTTAAACACAAAATTGGTCAAAAATCTCCCATAAATTAGGCAATAAACAGGCAGTTAAACATTGAAAATTCAAAATCTTCCGGAATTACCTTTTAATCATCACTGGCTGAGCCGTTAAAAAGGTTTTTTGAACATTTCAAACCATTTTCTAATTTCTCAGTATTAATTATGAGGTTAAAGATATGTTGCCCACAGAAGCATTATTTGTAATTAAAACCAAGTAACAAAAATAAAGGTACATTCTGACTTAACGTTCTATAAAATAACTTGTATTTTGAAATTTAAATTTCCCGCTGCATGTGTGGGTGATTTTGATTGGTTGAACTGTCAAATGGAAGGGTCGATTCTGCTTGGCTGGAAAAGATCGGAAGGTTGGAATGAGATGGTGAAACAAGAACTTTTGTGTTCGTTTTAATTTTACACTCCCTTTCGAATATTGTCCACTCTTTTGAAACAAAATGATGAATTATTACTGATGGAACAATTATTAAAACATTTTCTCAAAATTGACACAAAATAATGGACATATATAGTACTTTGCCACGCTATTGTGCCCCCTTGTATATTCTACAAAAGCAGGAACGGTGGATGTCTCACAAATAAGCCACAATTACGAACGTTTATCGGAAAATAAACAAAACAATTAGCATTTTTCAATGAGTGCGTCACTTCACGCTTAGCTGCATTTGCCGTAATCGTTTCTACTTGCGATTCAGATAATTGGTCTGAATTTCTCCAATTTTTCTTGGACGTTTGATTGATTCCAATTGCACGCTCGTAATGTGTGCCTAAATATTGGTTCTAAATATACACTCCAAAACAACATACGCGTTCGCCATATGCGTGTGCGATATGCGCCCATAAACATCATCCAGGTGCCGTACTTGAATGTTTTATTATACGCCCAATATGGCGAACGAAGACGCATAGTAATTTGTCCCAATTTTACTGTGATAAATAAAGTGGACGCCCAATCTAAAGGAATAAAAATATAACCTGATGTTATACCCTAACGTAGGTATATAGGGTTTGTTTTCGAAAAAATATAATGTAGGAAACAAACTTTATATATTCAAGGGAAAGTAAGAAAGTAAAGAATATTCCCAGCGGAGAGAGATTCTTGTAGGAAATAATAAGGAAACGAACTAGTCCCAAGTAAAATAATTGGCGATCCAGTAGAATTGGATATTTCCCAGGAACATCCTGCATGCTTTTTAGAAACAACAATAATTTGTATCTACTCATCTTCATAAAAAGCTATGTTCTAACACGTATTAGAAGAATAACCATTTTTCAGGTTCGAACGGCCAAGATGCATCTGTTCACCTGCATCCAGGTGGCTTGTTTGGTCGTCTTGTGGATAGTCAAGTCCACCAAGGCGTCTTTGGCTTTCCCGTTTTTCCTTATTCTGATGATACCGGTGAGGGATCAAATGAAACGCCTTTTCACGCAAAGGGAACTGCGATTGGTAAGTACCAATATGGTTATTAAAGAACGTAGTCATGTCTTTGGATATGGCCAAATGATCTTAACACATTTTTTTTTTCTAATTATATGTCCTTGTCCGAGGAGCACCAAGGGATTCACTATATTTACTCAAAATACCAAGAAATATTAAGTTATTTTATCTGAAGGTTTCGTTGCTCCAAGGATCTCACTCTTGATTCAAATGAACATGTTGATAAAGTAAAAAGTGAACGCTCTTGATTTCAGATTTTTAAATTGTTACTTCAAGAATCTTTTGCCTTTCTTGACACAAGAATAAGTGTTTTTTGACTTATTACATACGATTTACAACTTCAACTTTGCATGCGCATAATACAAATTATTTGCCTCTCGTCGTCAAATCTTATAGGACATAATATAGAACACAAACTACTATTTTGGTAAAATAATCTGCTATATCTAGCTGCCTTGAGTATTTCCCAGAAATACCCTTCATACTTTTTAAAAGCGAGAGATTCGAATATTAGAATCTACTCATTTCTATTAAAGTATACCTAATAATTGAATATAATTTTGTCCCCAATCTTACACTTAATTCGAGAAGATAATTGGGAGAAATTGCGAAGACCATGAAATTGAAGATGATCAGCAGTCGAGCCCTATTATTTTATAATTAAAAATTATTCAGTCATTTAGCTAAACCCCGTAGCTCGTACCACACACTGTATAATATATTTACGGTTGCTTTAAAATGGCAGGTATTCCAAACAGAACGCGAGTTATTAATATTAACGACGTAGCAATTCCTATTTCATACGATACGGCCGATGTCGTATATTTTTGATTTTTTTACCGGACTGTCATGGCGGCTTCCCGGGCAGCGGAAGTACGTTATTAGGTAAAAGAAAATTATAGCACGCGTCAGTAACCGTTCGAAGAGCCGACGTGGAATACCTGATCGGTCGCACTAGACAACAAGAAATAAACAATAAAAAAAACAATACGTCAAACTATCGATAGGCTATAAAACAACGATAACGGTAGCGGCTTATGTGCCGTTTAAAATTACAAAGCACCTGCCTGTCCACGTTTCGTCGTTTTAGGCCGGGAAACACACACCGAAAAATCCTCATACATACCAAAACATAGCAAAAGCCCCCAACCCCTAGTAGAACTCATGAGTTAGTTTAGAGAAGGTTTTTCTTATACAGAAATTATCGTTCTAGCGAAAAGGTTCCATTCAAAATTTGTCTTGGTCTGAAAACTGAGCTATAACAAATGAATCCCCTTGAAAATGTTCTTTCAATTTAATGGGAATGGGAGTATATGGCTGTTATCTTGATGAAATAGCACACCACGTCTGAGTGTCTCTTTCTTCTCTTCTTTCCTGGACTCACGCACTTTTCAACTTAAAGCAACGCGTGAAAATAACCCTATAGCAGCATTCCTAAAATATGTGTAGATGCTGCCTCCGTTATATGATCTGTGCATTTGAATCAGGATCATAGTTTTGAACCCTGGTTTCATCCACTGTAATGAATCTAGAAAATTCGCAAAATTCATTTCTAAAGTGACCTTGATATTTTATTATTTCGTGTAAGCATTTGTTTCGCGAATCTTGTTTTTTCTCTGATGACTGATACTTACAGCGTACTTGGTTAAATACCTACACAAAACACAATCTCACTGATTCAATTCTATCAAACTTTTCAACCTAAAACCCTAAAAAAACTTCGAAACAAGGCCATGTTTTGCTATATACTTAAGAAATTAGTACGCTATGTACTCTACATCTATTGACAACTGCATATACAGTCGAACTTCGCTAACACGAATTTTTGATAAGTCGAACCAAATTGGTTGGCAGTAGCGTCAAAAGTAGGAAATGCGTGTTAGTTTGTCTTGATTACTCGAATATCTTGATAACTCGAACGAAACATTTGGTGCCAACTTCGATAAGTCGAATTTTCTCGGGGAACCCCCTAATTACGACCGATCTTAACCTGTCTTTTTAACGTATCTATGCAAGCAGTTCAGTTTCTGTGCTTGCTAAGTTCACTTGCATGACTTACTAGTTAATACTAAGTGAAAAATACTTTCCCTATCCAATTTACACGTTATATTAAAGACATTTTTGGATTTTTGCATTTGTTACTTTAAAAGCTTTGTCTGTTGATCAAAAATTCAAGGTTATAAAAAAAGTGGAAAGTGGCTCAAAAAATAAAGATGTAGCTGTGAAGTATGGGATTTCGGCAAGTACAGTGTCTACAATTTTGAAAAATAAACATTCAGTCATCACCGCAATGGAACGTTTCGAAGAAAACCAAAAAAAAAAAAAAATAATAATAATAATAAAACAATAACATTACACTAATGGATTGTGTTGACGACGTAACTAACGCATGGAATATCGACGTTAAGCCTGAAACAATTTCCAATTGTTTCAAAAAGCCGGTTTTGATCAGTATTCTGAATGCGAAGAAGAAGATGAGATTCCCTTAATTTTCCTAAGTGAACGCCTGAAAGAAAAGAGTGAAGACGACATCCAAATAGAAATCGAGTTTAAAGCTTGGACAAATATTAGAGGTATAGCAGAAGGTAGCACCATCAACGATTTTATACGTGCGGATGACGATATTGTTACTTCAGAGTTTCCTACTGCTGAAGATATTATCGAGTCCTGCAGATCCAAACCGGTAGAGTTAAACGTCGAAGATGACTACGAAAGTGACACCATGGAGGAGGAATTGGAAGATGATTCTCAGCAATCACCTTCAAATGAACTGGTTGAAAATTCGTTGATTGTCTTGTATTCCTATTTGAAAACCAGTGAATACACAACCGATTCCCTCTATGATTGTTTAAATAAAATTGAAGCTTTTGTTGAAAACCAAAATAAGAAACCCGGTCGTCAGTCACAAATAACTGACTTTTTTCCAGTGAAAGAGTAAACTTTAATATGTACATACATATGTATGTATACGTGCATACATTCTATGTTTATATATACTGGGTACATATGCAATACATTTATATGTACATATATTATCTAAATACATATATACTACTATTTCATAATTTTAGTTTTTTGTTCAAAAATCATAGATATTAGGGCATTTATGTAACGTATAACACATTTTTAAAAATGACTGAATAAATGTTCATTCACAAAAAAGTACATGCATTTGTAGTTTTTATTGATAACTCGAAGACTTGATAACTCGAAGACTTGATAACTCGAAATTTTCATGTGTCAAATCGCAGTTCGACTTATCGAAGTTCGACTGTAATTCAAGATTATAACATAAAATTCGTGTTTTTACAACTCATTCAGATTACTAAGCGGGTCTATAACATAAAAATTAAGCTCTAGGTATTCGTTTCCTGGTCTATTTTCCATTACGGTATCGTTGACCGTAAATTATCGTTCAGTAAGGAGACATTTCTCAAATTTTTGCAATCCGACACCGCGGTGTGTAAAAAATGACGACATTGAAATCGGATACAGAAGGGCAAAAGCTATCGGATATCAAGGAAGCTTGGGAAACGGAACGCGGTTCCGAAACAATCGAGAGCTGCTGGACCTTGGACGAGGTTGGATGACTTCGGAAACACGAAACGCTTATTATTTGCCTAGGTTATTCCGATTATTTTCGCTGTTTTCTTGCGTAAATCAGGGTCAATTGTAAGCCTCCCACAACTTCGATATGTATAAATAATCCGGAAAAAGAATCCAGATCGTAATGATCGGTAAACTATCCTGTAACCAAAGCAATTCAAGGGATCCTCTGAACCGTCTGTGGCTGATTCCTCACCTCTCTATATCCTTCCGAATTTGTTTTATCCATTCCTTTCTTTTTTTCTCCTACATGGCGGTTCCCAATTTAAAAACTTTTTTACCCAACGGTTACTTACTGAATTCGTTGTATTTTTCCGTACGACTTAAGTCTGCGGTTCTCCATTTCTTCTGACATCGTTGTTTCTACATTCATTCTTCGTTCTAATTCGTTGTTTGTGATTGGGTGTATACGCGATAGATACTCTACAACTTCTTGTAAGAAAATCCGCCCCATTCGCTTCCCGTCTTTGTCTAATTATTTGACAAGTTTATATAACATTTTTTATAACGTACAGGATTTTCTCGTATATCTGAGACCTCACCCACAGAGAAACAAAAAAAGAGAGATACAAAAAGTTTTAATGTTTAACGAACATTAATAATTCTTAATTCGTACATGTCGTACAGGGTACATGGGTACATGGGTTTCAGACTTCTTTAAAATTATATTTTTTAAAACATGATTATATAGCTATGACAAGATAAAACCAGGAAAAAAATCTTTATTAATATAAAATGATATACCGTTTAAAAAGAAAAAATAAAAACAATTGATTTGATCTTTTTTACATTCTCTTAGTTTATAAAAAGCATAAAACTTTTTTGTTTATACTTTTATTGTCCCTTTATGTGGATGAAACTGTGCGTATGGGGTATGGTGACCACTATTTTTGCGTTATTACTGCTGGAAGAGTGAGTTTTTCTAATTGAATTGAATTGAATTTCTAAAGGTCGTTTTTTAGAATAATTGGCACTTATTATTTTGACTTACAAGATATGGTATTTTATTAAAATAATTGAATTTATTTATCCGGTGTTTCTGTAATTCACGTCCGTTGATAAAACTTAATAAGAAACCCTGTTCCGATGTGGAGCGTCAAAGACAAATAATATCCACTATTTGCGTTACTGTTACATACGTGTATAAAATCATTAACAACGTAATACCTACTGAAGATATAGATGATTATGCGGAGAGACATAATGGACTATAAAATAAATTTACAATAAAATAGGCTTCGTTTTTAATTCGATACTGATACTGATACGAAATGCCTTCCAACTTTTATATTTAACTGCTTGATACTGTAACAGCTAATATTTCTCATCTTATAATGACTTAGTGCTACATTGCTAGTTGTTAATGTGATAAAATACTAAAAACTGCTTATAGGTTTCAATTATTAATAGATTATTATTTAAACATGGTGTTTGTCAGATAAAGAACCCACCATTTTGAAATAGTTTTATAACGAACATTCATTTTATAGCAACCTATTTGAACTTATTAAATTTAAAGTATAGCTTTTTATAAATTCAATTTTTAAACTTAATTTTAATGCGTTGCATTATTTGTCGTGCTAAAATGGACTCGTTGTTTAAATTATTAGGACAAATTGTAAGTTGGAAAGAATGGGAATAGAACTTTAGTAGTCCTTTTCTCTCCCTCTTTATAAATGGCCCCTTCGGCGTATACATGAGGTGAGGTATTGACCAATTTCAAACCCCAAATCGTATTATGTCGGATGACTCACGGTTGCATGTAGATTGCCGAGAAACCTTTTGTTGTGAAAATATACTCTTAATTCGACCAGAACAGGTTGGACGGTGTTTTACTTTATAGCGTACAGGGTGTTAAAGTTGACAGACCGACAGACAGACGTGAACGGACGTAGCAGATCGTTTTGATATGTAAATTAATTTGGTGTCAGCTGCTTACGACAAGGTAATTTCAGGTAGGGTTTACAGGGTTTACATTTTCGCACATTAATACGAAGAGATATAATTTTGCTGTAGTGACAGATAAGTCATTAATTTCTACGAAATTTTGCAATTGCATAGTCTGTCGGAGCGCTGAGTAGTAAAACCTGATTTAGGGATACAAAGAACTACACTGTGATTAGCCCACCAAAAACTTAATAGCGGAATACTTATTAATATGGATGCTTAAAATTTCAATAATCGCTTTTAGCACTTCTTTAAAATTGATGTCGAGTTTCATACATGACGACCTGATATATGTTCGATCAATAAAATAACGGTCAAATTTTTGAACAAACGTCGGGAACAGCTATGGGTTATCCATTATCACCAGTCATCGCGAATATATTTATGGAAGCCTTTGAGATAAAAATAAGAAATCATACCTAACATTGGGTCCCAGCCCGAATCACTGAATCCAGGATTCCTGCTCTTCTCTTCAATAATTTCCACATTACACTTCCTTACATTCAAAACATCACTTACCACATATCAAAAGTTCTAAAGAAATATAACGTCAAAACCAGATTTACCACTTGTCCAAAAATCTCTCAACATCTTCGATCCGTCAAAGACAAAATTCCATTTGAGATGCCAGGAGTTTACAGCATTCCATACATATGTGGCAAAGAATACATTGGAGAGACCGGACGAAAAATATCAACTAGGCTCAAAGAACACGAAAGAGCTTTAAGACTAAGACAAATAAACTCATCACCAGTTGCCAACACAATCACGAAACTGGACATAAAATTTTATTCGATAAAACTAAACTTCTTGCATGTAATCATTTCTTCTACCAACGAAAAATCCGAGAGTCTATAGCAATCTATGAACAACCTAGCAATCTTAACCGCAACTCAGGTCTTTACCTGTCACCAATATCCGAGACGCCCTTTATGTCCCTCATTTAGCTCCGCCCCCCTCAAACAATATATAAACAGGTACAGAGTAAAATGCGATATAGTTTCAGTCAAGCCCTGAAGAAGTGTACAGGATGATTGTCGAAACGTTAGCAATTTTGTGCAAAGTAAAACTTTTCCACCTTCCACATTGATATAACAAAATGTTTATAAATTATTGCAGCTGCAGGAAGAATTTAAGTTTTCTGTTGATGTGAAGTTATATATCACTATTATTTATTTTATTTTTATTATATAGTTCTTATTAGGATACAGTATGTTGAACTTATTTTTAAAAAATGTGTCCATGGAAGATGATCGTTTCCTGGACCACAAAAACGCTCAAAATCCAAGTATAAAATTTACCATGGAGACAGAACAAAATCAGCTAATAGCGTTTTTGGATGTTCTAATAAAAAGATGCAATGGGAACCTAAGCCACACAGTGTACCGCAAGCCGACTCACACAGACAGGTTCCTACATGCCTTATCCACCCAAGCCAAAAAAGAGAAATCATTACAACTTTAACAGAACGTGCCCGGAGGACCTGTGATCCACAACACCTGGACGCAGAACTAGATCACCTCAAAGAAGCCTTCCAATCAAATGGATACAGGATATCTGATATCGATAAGGCTATGAGGCCCAGAACTGCCTCACGACAAGACCCGAGTGAACAACGAGTGCTTATCTACCTTTTATTCCTTGAGTGCCAGACAGGATCGGAAAAATATTGAAAAAGCATAATATTAACACAGTATTTAAACAAGCAAGGAAAATATAACAAACGCTAAGATCAGCCAAGGACAAGAGAGATCCACTGTCAGCCGCCGGAGTCTACCGCATACCATGAACGTGTGGAAAGGTGTACGTTGGAACGACAAAAAGATCTGTTACAACCAGGATAAAGGAACATCAGAGAAACTGCAGACTGGGACAAACGGACAAATCGGCAGTAGCGGAACACAACATTCTTTTTGGGGAAGCCAGGCTTCTTGCGCCTACTTCGGGCTATCATGCTCGCCTCGTACGAGAAGCAATAGAAATCCATAAACATACAAATAATTTCAATAGAAAAGAAGAGACACTGCAGCTCAAACAAATTTGGAACCCCATCTTAAGGAACACAAGGACAGCTCCGGTAGTCACAACCACTCATGCGTTAAAATGCCCCGCCCCTTCCCCTGCACGACTCCCAAGGCATAAAGATGAAAGCACCTCAGAAGAAGCTAGCCGCTCGTGCTAGCGAAACGTCAGGAAGAAATTCCGCTCAATGACGGCCATTAAGCCCGAACAAAAACACTTACAGTTTAAAGTATTATTATTCAGGTCAGGTGTCCAAGAAGTTCCTTAATATATTTCTGTTATAACTCCCACAGCATAAATATTCAGAACCATAACTGCTGGGAAATTTTTACCAGATTTAAACTTTTATCGAATAAGTTTTTTATTATTTCTAATTTGTTCACTTTTTATTACTGTATATACCGCGATAAATAAAAACAGATTCTTTGCCAGATTTTTTTATTTAATGTCTTGGTGTTTTAGTAGAATTATGCGTTCAAAAAATTCTCATTTGTCATTCAAAATTGATCCGTGCGATTTACAAATTTTTCTGTTTTACTTCCACCCGCTACAAATAATTTTTTTTATAGATGCTCCCATCTTTTTTCTAAACTACTATTGATTGTCTTTTATCTTTGTCACTAATTTGTTATTCACGATTTTTCCTTAATGTAATTTAGCAAAGTGATGTTGTTGGTGAAAGAAATAAATTTATGTTTTCCGCGTCGTTGCGGTTTGCTCGTTCCACACATTTAAAGGCAATTTAACGTCCGCTCCCTCCTTCTAGCATTAATCTTTCGATTTCCTCGCGGATTTAAGGAAACCCGGCGGATTGGAATCATTTGTTATTATTTTGCGTCACGCGAAAATTCCACCCAGCTCGGTTTACACAGCCACTCATCAGGAACGCATTTTAAAATGTTACAAACTAAAAAAATCAATTTGGAACCAACGAGACTGATTACGGTTGCACATCCGAGAAAGCTCTATTTATACGGATCCAAAAAATAAACAACTTTCGGTGTTCACATGCACAAAACAGCCCGGCCGGCATGTTTAATGTTTCCAAATTTAAAGACACGTGGTCCTGAAAATACCGAGCGCGTCGCAAGATTTATTGCACTCTGAGAAGCGAATGGAAAAAAAGTTTCCTGGTTCTAACCCCGATACTGGCTGCCGAATATAACTTTTTCTCTCGCCTCACTTATTATCTACGTTCTGATAATTACACTCGCCTTATGAATTTAACGCTCCACTTAAACCTTCAAAGTACGTATTTGCTTGGTTCTGACACTATTTGCTTAAGGTTAAAGATTAGGACTGTGACGTCACCAGCACCTGAGCTAGGGCTGTTCCAGCTTTAGTTTTTATGTACATAAACTAGCTCTCCATTCCTTATAGGTCGTAAGACTAAAACATCATATTTTCTCTTATGAAACATCATATATGATGCTTCATATTTTGATTCTGGCATTTATTCTAATATAATGATAGCTAAAACGTGGAGCTATATTTATCCAGCACCTTCGCCAGATTTCACTGAGGTCGTTCCGCATTCTACCCAAAATGCTTAATCCTTTCACACACGATCAAGATACATTTTTTTAATATTCTATATTCTATTTTATGTTTCAGCTTGATGGGGACCAAGTGGATGTGGATGATGATGAGCCCGATTTCTATGCTGAGGCTCCACTACCGGGATAGATTATTTCCTAAATTCCCCTGTAGATTGTACATAGAAAGTGTGGCATATAGGTGGGGTTTCAAATTTTTCAAAGCCACCGAACCAGAAAAAAAAAACGTTCGGCTGGGCAAGAAACACCTCTTAAGTTAAATAGGAATTCAGTATTAATTACTTAATGTTATAATAATAGCAATTTGGTTAGAAAGGCCAATTAGAAATAGTAACGGCTTAGCCGCGACTACCCAACTTCGTAATATTAATTTGTAATGCTTAATAACTTCCATTCCTTGTTAAAATAAATTCATCAAATTTCTGGGTTTTTAAGAAACCAAAATTAGCAAGAGCAATTCCGTCTCCTATTGAAATTGTTGAAATGTTTTGGTAATTCGGAGACGTTAAATGGTTTTAGTTTATATTTATGAATTAAGAACTGTATATAATTGTCGTCATTTGTAACTTTAGATTTAGAATTCAAAGTTGGATAAACGAGGCATTAGAACTATTTATTTTAATCAATTTAATTATTAAGTCTTTAGGTTCCACTGTGTACTTAAATTCAGGGAAAAATTACGGTGTGACTACTTAAATTGTGTAGAATGCTACAACTGTTGTACCTACCTATAACACCTAGAATTTATATGACATTTAATTTTGTGACCAAAAAATGTTGACTTGTTTGTTATGTTAAAAATTTGTGATTACATTTATTTTCCTACCCGAGCGGGGATAGACTGTGATTACCAAGAAAAAGGCTTGCTTAACTATGTTTGTGGAATCAAAGTTTTATCTGAAATGTAGTTTTATACATAGAGACTTAGCTTTATCTAGTACCAAGTAAAGAAACAATGTAGGTACTTGTTTGTTGTAGTCTAGGACAAAACATCTATTTTTAGGAGAGAAAATCACTACTGGTAAAATTTATTGTTGTTACTTAAAAATTACTCTGTGGTGCTCGTTTGAAATTCTGAGAGCCTCGGAGTTTTCAAAAGCGACAACATCCAAGTACATTTCCTGCGTGTTAAAGGGATTTATAGATATTAGACACTATTTGATAATAGGGAAAAAGAAATAGTATTTCTAACTGTGATTTTATTAACAGATGAATATGTCTATTCTATTTCTATAAATATATAGGTTTTAACTGAATTAAATGGACTAAAAGCAACATTAAAATTATTGCACAGGAAGGAACAATTTTGATGGTGTTTTTGTATTTTATTTAACAATCCCCTCACTCCTTAGTAACAATTTAGCGGATTTATTTGAATGTTTTATACCTATATAAACAAAGTCAAAATGAAAAGCACAATTATTAAACTGTGTCATTTTTTTAGTACACACAAAACAATTTTAGCTTGAATATGCGAATGTATTTTAGGTTGCGTTATTCGACTTATATAGTTTAATACATAAGCAAAAATCTAATGAATTTGGTAAAAGCCACTATGGCAATAATTACCATTACCCTGGTATGATGACCACAGTAGTGCTTTACAGATTAATTCAATTCAATTTAATTATGCGTTTCACAAAAAAATGTTGGGCTAGACTGCTAGGATCATTCGCCCATTGCCGACTTCCGTCGAGGATTTTCGCTTCTGGTCAATGACCACCACGTACAAAGAAGAAAAATAACCAATACGTTGCTCAGCTAGCAAAAAACGATTCTGACCGATACCAAAAAAATCGGCTTCCCCCCGCTTCCACCACGGACCATCCGGGCCCATCCGGCCTCCATACCGGCGTGAACAGGGAAAAACGACGGGGCCAACGACGATTATCACTTTGAAACATGCACTGAGCACTAAAAACACTAAATCCACACAGTGGAAACCGATATCAAACTTTTGAGGACGAATACAAGGAATTCTGTCGGGAGCGAACGGAGGTTAAACCGCCGCGTGCAATGCTCCACCACAGCAATACGGATTTAGTAATAACTATATGTCACTGAGTAAGCAACATAATTCTGCTCTCCGATTCTTTGGAAATGTCAATGTCATATGCGTATTTTGTTTTCTTAAACTCAAATGGCTTTCAATTTGAAAAATAAAATATAGTAAAACAAATTAATGATGGATTTAAAGATCGAAGATGCAACGATAACATATGAGCAGGACGCCGAAATCATTTATCTCCAATACGACGGCGAGATAGATGACAACAATAGCGAAAATATAATTTTACAGGTGACTGAAGAAACAGATGATTGCGATATTAATAAAGAATATTATCGTGGGTCAGAATTCTTAAAACCCGAGAACCTTAATGAAGATTTAAATTCTGTGGTCGCGATGTGCGTCGAGGCCAAATACGAAGATGACCCCTGCGATATCAACAATGTTGTCCTTCCAAAAGAGGAGGCTGAAGAAGAGGACATGGTAACTTACCAAAAATACAACCCGTATTTATTTAAATCGCATCGTATTTTTAGGAAACATCAAAGCATAACACAAATTTAGCGTCATATTTAATGGTGGTGTGTAAAAGTACAGACAATAATGAGTTGAACATGTACCGTTGCAAACAATGTAGCCTGGTCGTGGGATGCATATATTGCCTCAAGTCCCACTTTGAGAGCGTTCATGTGAATGCGGGCATAATTCAGTACCAGTGCACCCAAACCATGAGTTACACAAAGACCTCAGAGGTATGCCCAAAGTGCAATCTTGTGTGTAAAAGCAAAACTGATCTTCTGGAGCATAGAAAAGTGCATTTTGTTAAATGTGAGGTATGTGATACCACATTTGATAGCCCCCTTTATCTATCCAACCACTGTAAGATGAACCATAAAAAATTTGAAGTGGTGCTGAGCTGTGATCTGTGCAATGGCTGGTTTAAGGAACTATGTCATCTATCGGATCACTATGAACTTGCCCATGGCATGATTCTGTGTATTGTTTGTTTGAAACGTTTCGGAACAAAAGAGGAACTTGAGGATCACCATAGTCATCATTCTATAGTTTTAAAAATGGAAACGATCTTGCCGTTTGCGTGCAGCAAATGCGACGAGGCATTCAGCAAAATAGGCGACCTTAGTAGGCATTTGACGCAAGATCACCCAAAATGTAAGAAACGGAAAGTTTTTGAAGGCGATTTTGCAGTTTATGATAGTTTAAAAAACAAAAAGCCCGGGGCTAAAAAAATTAAATGAAACCCAAGTTTTCAAAGCTTTATAGATGTGGGATGAAATTTATTTGGTTTCTTACAACCAATATTTTACATTTAATGGGTTCTGATTGTGAAATAATTGGTTTCCACAGAGTGGTCATAGTAATAAGAGTTTAGTTAGTTCAATAAAGTTTGAGAGTGTTACGTTTTTTAAAGCTTTTCTATAATGTGACAACAAAAGCTACGATATTTTAATTTGGACCTAAAATAAAAAAGTTTGTTATAAATTTGGATTTTCAATATTAAACATATTGAGTTTTTTTTTAACAATTTAAATTTTGAAACTGTTGAATAATTTTTTTACTAACAATTTTTATTGATAATTTTCCGATCTTATGAGTTGGGAAGGGATTAAAATATTACAGCTTTCAATTTCATATAATGTAATTTTTCTCAGATACTCGGTATCTTGAGGAATCTGATATTCCACTCTAGAGAATTTTAAAAGTGACCATCCTGTAAAATTAAGAGCTGTTCAATGGGGATTTTAACAGGATTAAATTGCCCCAAGACTAGCTGATTGTTGGATGATTGATAAAAAAAGGAAATAGGTGGTCTGTGTTGTGTTTCTAATGCAATGTTACATTTTAGATATTTTGATATGGTATGCTAGGGTTCTTAGATTCTGTGAAGTATACTAATAATGGTATTTGGGTAAAATAATGGCGCAGCCCAATACTAAGTATTGGAATTCTAATAAAATTCTAGTCTTACAAAATTTAGTGGGTACTTTATTTCTTATCTTTTCTATACTTAGTATATACTTGAAATATAGATAAATATGCCTTTTTTTGACATACACCAATATGTACAATTACATTTGTGTTCACAATATAAATTAATGTATTTTTTGAAAAAAGGTTGTTTTATTTAATTACTCTGGCATTTCCCCTCCTGGCACAAGCTGGAAAATAGAACAAAATTGAATTAGTGAAAGTCCTGGTGGAAAAGGATAAAACATACCATAGTAATATTATTTCCATTTAGAAGTATTTGGTCCAATTTTGTTACCCTCCTGCCTTCAGGAGTTGTTTCATACTCAGTCACGTCTTCTAACAGCATATTAACAAAATCATCAAATCCCAATAACGTTCCGACAATTTCTTTGTCGTTCTTCATTATAATGTGAATTCTCGAACCGATGCACTTATCCACCAATTCTACATTTATAATAGATTCAATCAAAAACATTGGGGGAGGGTTCTTTTTAGGTTAGAATTTTACTTAACGCTGTTAAAAACATTACCTACCAAGCGGGAGAAGCGTCGATGAGCTTACTGGAAGGGTCGCCATTTTCCACGTTTAACTTTGATATCAACAAATTCTCAATTAAGTAAAACTAAATCAAAATTTAAATCATATATTACCACCACAAATCAGAGAACGACAATACTTGTAAATGGCCATGTCCACGGTGGGTTAACCATAGAATACCAAATAACTTAGATAATTATAACGCAAAGATAGATTTAAACAGCCCAATTTTGGTTTTTGAATCCTTGCTTATTTATTTTTCTCATGAATTTTTGAAGCAATATTTCTAACTATTGAATTATATGACTGAGAACAATTTTTTATCCTTAATAATAAATGGAAGAAACCTATTTTATCGGCTGGCCAAGATTGCCGGCATATTCGCCAAAATAAACCAAAAAGGTAATTTTTAATTGCATAGGATTATCATTAATTTTTGAAAAACCATTAATTAACAAAGTTTACCTTTGAACGCCCTATATCAAAATCTATTTTAACAGAAACATATGCTAAAACGAGCTTTCATGGCTTTGTTTGTAAAGTTAGTTTGATGCGCATGCGCAGAACGCCTCACCACAACAAAGTGCATTTCTTGTAATTTTTCAGTTTGATCCGCGTACCATCCTTCAATGGATGGCCGTTTCGTCGTGTGATTCATTTGTAATAATGGATTTTAGTGATTTCAACGCGTTCTTCAATGAACTTGTTTCTAAATTCGCGACAATAATGTTTGTGTAACGTTTTCTTTTTGGATAATACCATCCCGCTTAGGTTTAAGGTAAGTCGAACGTCGAGAGTCTCCTAACCAAATTTTGATTTTTGTTTATTTTATTGCCTTTATTGTTTTTATTCTGATGATATCGATCCAATTTGAATGAACTAGAAGATTATGGGTTGGTAATTTACTGTAGAGGCCAAACCAAACTGGCAACAAGATTTGTGCCATCTAAAGCCTAAATTCACGGCTGTTTTGATTTCAATAAAAACAAACAGTTTCGGCAAAACATTAAATTTTTGTTTGTTGTCTTGTTGCGTGTTGTTCATTGACCCTCGCAAAACGGTGGCTTTAAATAGCAATTGGAAGCTACAGAGACTGTGTGTGTATATGCGGAATTTCATGGAAACTCCACAAAGGTGAGGACTTCTCGGATAATCCCATTACACCTGTTTTGTGATTTAAAATTATCGATAAGTTTCGTTTTATTGCGAGTCAAAGGTGGCGTTAAACCTATTCGTTGCTATCGTTAAATGTCTTTCGACATGTTATTGTATCGAAATCTTATTCTTCCGTGTTAAACTATTCCTAGTTCTCGTTATTTTGGGATTGCTTGAACGTTGAGATGTCGTTTCCGATTTTGCTATTAAAAATACCCCGTGATTTATTCGAAGCCGTAAAGTCTATTAATAAGAACGTTTGCTTTTGTTCTTATTTTCGGTAGCTACGTCTTTTCCTTTTATTTAGTCAGTTCGACCATTATTATCACTTAAAAATTAATTTTATAGAGTTGTTTGCGTTTCTGTCTCATTAAAAATAATACAGTCAGTTCTTTGCATTTTGGTTTACTTTTCCGCTAATGGAGCTGCCATAAACATTCGGCGCTTCTCGTAATTTTTTTTTAAGTGCCAAAACAAATGTGTGAAAATTAGAAGCGGAGCGACGTCGGTGATGTCACGCGCTACCCGTTACGTATTTTCGTTTCCGTATTCTCGGAATTATATTTTGAAAATTAATACTGGCCTCGGACACGCTTGAAATTAAAACAGTTTCGTGGTTCAGTATACGTGAGAAATTATGCATCGCTACGCAACTAATGAGTTTGCATAATAAAAATGTGTGTTAATCATTCATTAATAATGTTATGACGAGCTCCAGTTCATTAATAAACGGGGGCGGTGATTTTTCTTGGACGAATGTACAGGGGTCTCTTTTACGGGAAACATAGTTAATATGATAGTCTTTTATGAAATTAACATTTTATGCATTAGGTAGGTACACTTAAATGCAAATTTTAATTAGGAAAATGCAGATATGGTATAAAATTCAAACATTTAAAGAAGGGTTGGGGCTATAACAAAAAAATGGGAATTTGGTAGCACTTCAACGAGCATGTCATATTCGATGTATCCTTAATGGAAATTCCGTTTTTATTGAAGACACATCAAGATGCCGTTTACCCTACTTTTTTAAACTTGCAATACGATTAGATCAGATTTTAAATAGCGCTAAGCTACAAGAGTAATTATATAAAACCCCTAAATCTAATTTAAATCGTTAAATAAAAGGTCTGATGTGATGCTGACTAACTAACCAAAACTTTTAATTCAAATTCAAAATCAAAATACTTTGTATCCTAAGGAGATCTTACAAATTTTTAAAATCACCAATTTTCATTTTTCCCTTGTTGCTTAGAAGGTGTTACTGAAAATTTGATTTACATATTTTCCAAGTCTCATAGAAGTGGGCCAGTGATGTGAACATGACATTTTCAATAAAAACGGAGTTTACCTTAAGGAGAATAGATATAGGTATAGGTATAACTCCTTTTTTAAAGTTTAATTGATATATCAAATCTTTGGTTTCCTAAATGTGTAAATAAAATTTGAAGAAGTTTTTCTTCACATCCGAAACTTAATACAAAATATACGAAGGTTAATATCGCAAGAGATTATACAGAGTACCCTACAAATGTATTTATCTTGAAATGACCCTGCAACTTCCAATTTATATTCGAATACGAGTTGCGTCATTTAATTTGTCATAACAAAATTAGTTGAAACCAACCGAGTTAGAAATGTGTATCTAAAGATAGCCTTTCGGATACAGCGAATTTAGACAATAAATCGCATTAATATATATTACAGTATACTTTTCAAAGGAATTTCCACTTCTTCAGAGCTTAACTAAAACGGATTGGCGAAATGTCAGCAAGTTTGTTTTATAAACAACCGGCGCAAATAGTATTCTTCATTAATTATTTCAAGTTTTAATCGCGTTCTTAATAATAATAGCAGGTCTTTAATAATAGATAACTTTTTTAATTATTTATTTCTTTGGTGGGTTGACGTGGTTATCATTATTTTAAATTTATCCTAAATTCAAATAGAAAAAGGCGTTATTTTCGATACAGATTGTTAAAATTATTGAAAAATGTTCAATAATCCGTCAGACAAAGATTTCTTTGCATACAAAAATTGTTTTCAACAGTTTGACAATTTTTTTTAATATGTCTGGGATCTTCCCAGTAATTAGAACTGCAGTTGGTAACGAGAATACCACCAAAATTCCCTAATTAAAGTTGCAAATAAAAAAAAATGTCAGAAAAATTTAAAAATATTATTTTTATATTTATTAATTTAACACTGAAATCGATGTTTTTTTTTTTTTTTTGGTTTATTAATTTCAACGTTATTCAAAAAATTTCTCCTAACCTTCAAATTATTTTTCACAATTGGTGAAATTCGCAAAATCTGTAAATTATGGGCACAATTTTGCGAGAAAATAAGTTTCGTATATTCTAGTGTTTGTTTTACACGGAATTTAAAATTTTGCGTACTCGACGATGAAATTTCCGTTTATTAGCGGTTGTAGAACGACTCACGACTAACGATAACAATGGTGGTGCAAAACCACCGTTCGTTGTTCGATTTGTACAATCGGTTAGGCAACCGGTCGATAAATCAAACACGGTTCATAAAAAGAAAATGCGTAACACCCGAATGAAATTGTTTAAACAATGGCCGGAATGTCCGGCCCCGTTGTCTATAAATATTTGCAAGCGGTTTGGTAAGTCGGACATAGTCAATTTTATGGGGGAGGGTGGCGAGAAAAAATGTAAAAAGGTGTCAAAAATTCTTCGCAAACAGAATTGGAAATTTAAAGCATGACGGCGTTGCGCTAACAACATATCGCGACGCATTAATAGGGCATTAAAAATTAATCTGAGATGAAAAATGCTGTCCCGGGCCATCGCAACTGGTTTTGGCAACGTAACTGCCTCCGATGCCTTTCGAGGTATTTTTTAATTCTACCCGAGAAGGATTTAGGAGTTTTTCGAGGCAGGTAGATTTTTATTTTAAACACGAGCGTGACCTGGTCAAGGTGGAGGCGGTGGAGAAAACCTTATATTATTGGAAAATATAAAATACGTGGTGTAGTAGTAGTCACTTGTGTAAATGGGCGAGCTACCTACATACGATCTTCGATTTTTTTTGTTATGTTGGTAGACATGTCCCTAACATATGTTAGTTTCAGCCAGTTTGCACGTTTACTTTTTTTGTGAGACAGAAGCCTTAGGCGTGTTTTGTGTGCTCGGCGATTTTCTGCTGTAAAAAAATCGATCAAAAAATTTGCAGAAAATTATGTGTAAAAAATGAAATACAGTGCTACAAAACACTTAAAATGTTGACAACGGCATATGGTAAATTTACTTTGAGCAAAAAAAATCTTTATAAGTGGTACAAGCTGTTCCAAGATGGCAGAGAAGACGGCGATGACGAACCTCGCTCTGGACGCCCCAGCACGTCAATAACTGACGAAAGTGTTTGTTGTTGAAAAATCGTCGAATCACTATTAGAGAAGTAGACGTCGGTATCTCGTGTAGCAGCAAAATTTGTTCCGAAACTGCTTAATTTTGAACTAAAGGACCGTCGAAGGAGCATCGCTCAAGAGCAGTTAAACGAGTTCAATGATGATCCTGATAAACTCAAAGAAGTCGTAACTGGTGACGAATCATGAGTGTATGGTTATGACGTCGGAACCAAAGCGCAGTGGTCCCAATTGAAGAACCCAGAATCCTCACTACTGAAAAAAGCACATCAAGAGTTTTTACCACAAGGTCATACAGTCAGAAAAGTCATTGAAGTGATCATTGTTAATACGAATGATGAATCGTTCATAGTATGCATATGAAGAATAATCACCGGTCTGTGACCGTGTATATGTTTGACAAAATATAGACTCGTTAATCTAGGTTAGGTGAAAGTGATCTGTGTAAGGTCGTAAAAGCACATGTTATTTGATTAAATCTAATATACATGATATACAAAATGATAAATTATGAGACTTGTGTAACGCGAGTTGAATTCGGGGTGGTAATTATTTCGATGATGGTAATGGCGTCCGTGTTAGCGGTTTTTTGGTTCTGTATGGAATTTTGAAGCAAAATAGTAAAATCATGGCGTTGGTTTTCTGGGATATGGAAATTAAGCCAACCAAATTACTTTTGGAAGAAAAAGGAATGCAGGGAGATGACAAGGTCCTGAGCAGTAAGTTGGAGACGCAAAAGAAAAATTGTTCCAGACAGACTCCTGCACCACGAGAAGGTCCCGGTAGAAACCCCATTTGTTTCACATGCGGCAAACCAGTTCACAGGGCACCGAAATGTGACGAATTCAAAAAATGATGAAAAGTACTGAGTCATCGTCAATGGAGAAAAACGCAAAGAAAGCAGC